CTGTATGATATTACAAGGTAATGTCATACTGCTGAAAATAAGAAACAGCATTAATGATATACATAATAGAAATGTAAAATGAGAGTCACATATAATAGAGACATTATACTCTATTAGAAATGATACCAAAACATAAAGACAATATTTCAATCACAAGACAAAATGAAAACAAGAATAAAATGAAAAAAAAACGGAAAATGTATTTCTTTACTAAGAAATTGATCAAAAATTGACATGGATTAGTTTGACAAAGAATAAATAGTTTTTTCCATGATAGACGGATCCCTAAAGATCAAATAACTCTCATTTGGTGCTTAAAATCGGTCCAAAAGAACTTTTGCTGGTGGATAGGGTCAATATTGTGCGGGCAGCGTTAGTGGTAGAAATACGCAGCATTGCTGGGGACTGCAGAGATTGTCAGGCAAGTCTTAGAGACCTAGGGTTGCTGTGTGCAACTTGCTCTCTAGGACTTATACCGGAACCATCTACACGGAGATAACAATCACGGCATAATAATAATAATAATAATATGTCATGGGTATGAATCTAGCCTGCATATGGTTGTGGAGTTTCGACTTGGGAGAAAGAGGTTACCTTTTGCCACAACTACCTCATGGCCACCCTTGAGCAAGGTTAGTACTCGTCAACTCTTCCCGAAACCACGAAATACCGGGTTGGCACCCGGTGGGGGCTAGAGGAAATAACTATAAGAGTAAGAAATGAACATAAGGCTCTAGGAGTAAGAACCTGGAGACTGACCATAATGCTACAGAGATATCAAACAGAAACATAGCACTTGAGATCAAGCACAATTTTTTTTTTGTTCACACAGGGCCCTTATTGATAACAATACTCGTAGTATTGACAAGGTTTTACCCTGTATAAATATTCCTCTTATTATTATTATTACTATTATAAGGGAGAACAAAGAACCCAAGACAATACCCCAGCTGAAGAAGATCCCTTTGTACTCCCTTTGTACCCCCTCATCTAAAGCCACAAGAAATTTCTCGCAAGACATCAGGATGTCGTTTGGGCTAGACTAGTGTGCGGTCCTAGAAACGAAAAGGGGCCAAAAAGATCAGCAGTAGTGGAATAATCTTACCAGACGATTAGGATATCAGAGAAGAGGAAGGTTTTAAATACATTGGTTTCCTGCAGTTGGATAAGACTCTGAGCACGAAGATGAAAGCAAGATAACATCAATCTGGCATCAACGCTTGGGTCGTGAGTGTACTACGTCACAGTGCAGGTTTTGTGGATTTGGACAATGGAATAGCTGGTTAGCATAGATAGAAAACTAGGAAAATTTTGGCAATGAATGGATGTATGCACACAAGAAGTAATGTTGCAAGACTGTACTTCCCGAGGAAGGAAAGAAGAAGAAGGCAGATCAGCACTAACGAGTGTGTAAAGAAGCAAAGAAAGTCCTTGCATGGCTGTTTGAGAAAGACCACAGAGTGGATGATTGAAGCTGCTTTGAAGGAAAAGGTGTTATATGAAAAAGAGAGTCTCCAGGATTACCAGAAGAGGAAGGAAGAGGAAAAAGTCAAGAACTGGAAGGTGAAAGCCCTACATGGAGCGTTTAAGCGACAAACAGCAGATGTAGTTGGAGACGATTCTTTGAAATGGCTAAGGAGTGGTTTTTTGAAAAAGGAGCCAGAAGGTAGGATCTTAGCTGCTCAAGAACAGGCTTCAAGAACAAACTCGATCAAGCACGGCATAGATAAGACTTCTCCATCTAGATTTTGTGAAGACTCTACTGAAACCGTAAGGCATACTATCAGTGGATGCACGAAGCTTACCCAGAGAGAGTATAGGAAACGCCATGACAAGGTGGTCCTGCGGGTACACTGGGAGATTTGCAGAAAGTACGGTACAGAAAGAACGGGAGCATCGAAAGTGATACCTGGCAGTGATACTTGGCAGTGATACTTGGAACAATCTCAAAGAACGCAAAGATCTGATATAGGAAGTTAGACATTCCTGACATCGTTGGAGGTGCACAGTTGTCGGCCATTCTTGGAACAGCTCACGTATTGCGGAAAGTGTTGTGTTTCTAAGCTGCGGAATTAACTGAGACACGACAAAGATAACCCAGAAGAACAACAATGGACTGGAGAGAATCACATATAAAACGTAAAAAGGTACACCACCACCATTCCCCTACTCAATCGAAATTTTCCACCACTGGAATACCGGGCTCCGCCACTGGAAAACGGCATGAAATGTTCAATTGTAAACGCGTGAAAATAGGACATCCGGATTCAAAGAATGACAAAAGAACAATTTGCTTCTTTTTCAATATGTAATGAAATTGTTCTGCTTCAAGAGTGCAACGTTTCATGCCGTTTTCGAATCGTGCCGTTTTCGAATGTTTTATTTGATGCCTATTTAAAAAGAGTTTTAGAGTAAACGGAGGGTAAAACGGCATGATTTTACACAGAAAAACTTACTTCTATTCTTAATATTGATCGCTACTGCAAAATTTCACTTGGCATTGATTTATAATTTTAGATTTTCATTGCAAATAATAATTGTTCTAATTCACAACCTGAAATTTCCAGATACAGTTACTTATAGGAACAGTTACTAACCCATTGGTTTCTGCTTTGACTTTGCAAAAGTAATCAATATTGTTTGCAGCATTGTGGCATCCATCAGGGTGAATCTCTCCGCCAAGATGGAACGAGAAAGGGAAACTGTTCACTCCTTCAAGGCAAATTGAAGCTGTACCACACATAGGATCACATATGATATCACCTGCAATCACATTATGGCAATGTTAGTTCAACAAAGAAACATAAGTTAAGGGAATATACAGTTGCGCTGTCCCCTTTTGTCATGCAATCGCAAATTTGCCTAGGTTATAACCGTCTGACAGGTACAGCTGCAGGGTCATTGCGTGTTTTATAAGCATTGGAAATTTCGGCTTCAATTATCTTTAAAAAGATTATCTCTAAGCCATTTCATTTTAAATTTAAACTGGAAAAAAATATCTTAATTTGTGTTGGCTGCAATTTGTTCAATTTATCTGACATCAAAATACATCAATGCATGTATATTCCAGAAACAATTTTTATAAAAATTCGTATTTGGAAACATTCATAAACTAGCATCATAAACAACTTTCACTTCAAGTGAGGAGAGTCGCCATCTCTCTGTAATTCCAGGCATGGGAATCACGAGGAGAGGTCACATCGAGAGGAGAGACAAGGACACTGCTTGATCAGCATAGCTTTTTACAACTACCTTCAAAAGCCAGGTAGCAACAAATGCAAATATAAACACAAAACAAGTACAAAAACAAATACAAATATAAACATAAATAGAACAAAAATAACTACAAACACAAATAACAATACAAACACAAATTCGAGTATGAGAAATAATAAGATACAAATATCAATAATACAAAAAAAACATAAATACAAACACAAATACTATTACAAACACAAATAAAACAAATACAAATACAAGTAAACAAGTAAACAAGTAAACAAGTAAATGCAAACACAAATAAAACAACAAAAACAAACACAAATGCAAACACAACTACAAGTAAAAACATAAATGCAAACACAATTACAAACAAAAACACAAATACAAACACAAACACAAATACAAACACAGATAAATCAAACACAATTAAAAGTAAAAACATAAATACAAACACAATTACTAACACAATTACAAGTACCAACCCAAATACAACAACAAATACAAACAACAAATACAAACACAAATAAAACAAACACAATTAAAAGTAAAAACATAAATACAAACACAATTAGAAACACAATTACAAACAAAAACACAAATACAAACACAAATAAAGACATAATTACAAGTAGAAACATAAATAAAAACTTAAATACAAACACAATTACTAACACAATTACAAGTACCAACCCAAATACAACAACAAATACAAACAATAAATACAAACACAAATAAAACATTTATACAAACATTACAAGTAAATTAGAAGCAAAAACATAAATACAAACACAAATAAAAGTACAAATATAAACACAAACACAAATACAAACACAATTACAAGTAAAAACACAAATACTATTACAAACACAAAAAAACCAATACAAACACAAGTACAAACACAAAAAAACAACAAATACAAACACAAATACAAACACAATTACAAGTAAAAACATAAACACAAACAAAAATACAAACACAATTACATTTAACCTTCTATCTCATCACTGTGTTGGTTTGTACATGTTTGTGCATTACATCTGTATGTATTTATAATTTAGTAATTTCAATATGCTGGGAAATTGTTTTGGCCTTCCCCCAATGTCAAAGTCCTAACTACCACGATGAACACAAGTACAAGGACAAAAACAAATACCAATACAAATATTAATAAAAATACAAAAATACAAGCAGATTTTTTGGCTCTTAGTGAAAAACTTCTGAGTAGTTTGGCAATAAGTTTTATTGCTTCGCGATTATGAGCTTAGAAGTAGAGTAATGCTCTGTTAAAAGGGCATGTTCTAGAAGGATCTTTGCAGACTTAAAGCCCACCTTGATAATTTCATGACTGCTGGCATTTTCATGCAAGGTGAAGGGAAGAGAAAACCTAGAAATCAAACACTTTTGTTTGGTTTATTTCCCCAGACGTAAGAAAATGTTTGCTTCTCAAGCTCACTATACATATACCATGAAAACATAAATTCAGAAATGAGTAACGAGTTAGAAAAACAGGTTTATAAAGATTCATAAATATAAAAGAACCAAAATCCTTTTCTTGGCAGTATTCAGGCATTCATCGTTTATCTATTTGAGGTACAAAACAAGATAGCATCGAAAAGAAAAAGACAGAAAGAAAGCAGGGAAGCGTTTAACACTCCTAAGTGTTAGTAACTCATTTTTTGCATGACAGAACTTGGAATCTGCAAGCACACTTGCAAGCCCAGCATGTTTTACTTTAATTTGATTTTAGACAGATTAGATAACAGTTTGCACCAGCAATTTGTTTCACTATTTCATCCCGCAAATATAGTATCCAACTTGATGTAGTAATCTATAGCATTCCAACAAAGGTATTTTGTTTTTTCAATAGCGATATTCTTCGATGAAAATGTGGCATTCTACTAAAATACAAGAAACATTCCGCTTAAAAAAGGTAAGAAATCAATGCGGCCATAAAACTTATGCAGCCCTTGAGCTTCTCAGAGAGTGGCCTTCTTCTAAAACGGAAGAAAATTGAATGTGTCGCGCATTGGTACAATTAGGGTAGCTCACCGAAGAAAAAGAGCGCATTCTCAATTATTAATGCTCAAATAAGGCCCATTCACATACCTTTGGTTTGCGGTTTCATGGTTTCATATAGAATCGGACCAGACTAATTCAGTTAGGACTTGCGTCCACATTACTCTGATATCAAAATGGCTAAATTTGAAAACCCTCTTTAAAAATCGATCAAAATACTCACATTAAATGAACAAAATCATATTTTGCCTACCCAGCTGCTATACTTACATATAAATAAAAACAGTTTGCCTGGAATTGAACTTTAAAAATATGCAGTTTGTCTTCTCAAATTTGATGACGTAGATCAGCATCAATCTCACAATCCCTTTTTATTATCTGAAGAATTTGTTTTCTCCAATTTTTAAAAAACTCACTCTCAGCTTTCGAAAACTTAAAAATACTTATTCCTCTATGATTCCTTGAATTTGAACATCCGAAAATGAAGCAGTTCGCACCCATCAGCTTAGCTATGCTTTAATTTTCTGGATTTTGACAAAAATTGTTTGTCCCATTGTACATGCATTTTCTAGACTTTGCTATAGATATTTTTACTTCGCAGACACCTATGGAACTTTACAGTCTGGTAAAGTTGTAGGTAGGCAACAACAAAAATAATTTTAAATGGAAATTTCACTTCTCAGTTCTTCTCCTAGGATTAAAGAAAATTGGAAAAAAAGTTCTGCGATTGTTTTTTGATACTTTACAGTGCTACATGTGATGTGAAGTAATATTTCATAGGTAAATGATCTTCTCATTAGAAGATAGGCAGAAATTAGTAGATGTAGATAGATTTTCAGATCAAAGCACATTGACCGTTATGTTGAGGGCAGGGACTGCATTATTCTATGCATTGCTGATGCAATACCAACGTTAAATAATAAAAAAATGATGAATGAATTTTAGTAACTCCTCAAGAATGGGCAAATATAAGAACAATTGGTGTTACAACCACCCTTTTGCCAGGGTGCATTACATATGCAAAGCCCAAAGATCTTCAGCATGGTGTTCTGTTGTTCATGTAGTGTTGGTCTGAGATAAGCATCTGTAAGTATGTGTATTTCAGTGCAGCACAAATCTTTGATTGTTTATCATCTGAATGCTAGAAAAATAGTTGGCATGGTTGCATATGAACCTTGGCATACACCTGGCATATCCTCAGCATACATTTGGTATGAAGTTTGCATGGAAAGCACCCTGGTCTTCCAGGCCACATTTTTCATTTCAATATTGAAAGAAACAGTGTCTGCAAAATACTAACCTCTTTTGGTTCCTGCTAGCTTTAATAAACAGTATGATGTTGTCGCTCTCAATGTTGTTGGACCAAAAAATGAAACGTTTCTGTTATGCTTGCTTTCAGATGAAATCTTGATGGCAATAGTTACTTCCATTTCATTGATAAATGCCAAAATTTCAATATCAAAGTCTTCAAGGTCAACTTGCCAGTTGAAATAACTTTTTACACCAGAGCCAATATACTTTGCAGCTTCCATTGATGTAAAACAGTGCTTTCCATTTCTACTGCACGTAACACGAAATTTCACTTCAGACTGAGGGGGTGCGTCCTCGCCATTAGAGCGTTTAGGCTCAATTATTTTCCATTCACTCGGCCTATGTGTTTTATTTTTGAAATGATTAAAAGCACGCAGTGATTTTTCCCAATCGAGACTATCTGTAAATATCTCCAAGGCTTTTAAAATGTCTTCTTTGCAGCAGGCGTCACCCCATGCAGACGACGTCTGAAACACTTCAACCCAATAGTGATGGACAGACCTTAGATTACATAGTTTATCTAGTTGTTGTACATCACTTTCAAAGGAAACTCTCCCTCTTCCTTCTTTTTTAGCCCTAGTTTGGAACACTTCCTCGCAATCTGACACACATAGGAATTCTAAACCTGGAACAGTAGACACATACACTTTGATCTTCTCGACCTGCGACGCCATTTTATTTTCCATGCTTTCGATTGTTTATCGCAATGAAGTGAATGGAAAATTACGGCTACTTTCCGGGAGCAAGAACAATCCTAACTTTTCCCCAAACTGTCATTTCTGTGGCATATGTCCTGGGCCCAGAATACAAAATGCTTCCAGGGGGGCCCCAAATTCCGGACAATGTCTTTGCAGTACCTCAATGTGATCTTTTCATTCATTTTGCCATTTGATAGCAAAATTAAAAAGAAATTTAAATAATTTTGAGCGATTGCCCGGTAGCCCGACTCGCCAGTCAGCCTCTGTCTCTGGTAGCTGGGTTGCAACCTAACTTTTTCCCGTGTTTTTTAAACAAACTTTAGCCAATTATCATAGTGTCAAGCTCAAGTTAGCTATTGTTGATAACCATTACTTATGTAGGCAGAGTGATGCCATGCGGGTCTGCCGGTGACTGCCTCCAAGGGGAGAATCACCCCAAGTATCCTATCGAAAAATATATATCGAAAAATAAATGTCAGAAAAGAATCGTATTTGTCGCTTAAATCTCGAATATTTATTACACTCCTTTTCAAGTTCCATATGTTTTGATCCCATCATAAAACGATCTTCCGTTAACTCGCAAAAAGCTTCTAAAATTGGAAGCAAGTCAGGATGAACCAGTAGGAAGAAATATTCCATGACTTATTGTGAGCCTTCTAGCAAGCAATTCCTATAAATAATTTACAGACTGATAGATTTAAATCTATATTAAATCTATATTAAAGTTTAAAAGCAAAATTATTCAATCAATAGCACTTGCCAGTGAAATATTCCATCTCAAATACAAATTCTTTCATTTGTTTAGGGTAGTAATCCTTCCAACAGAGTGCATCTTTTAATTGGTAGAGCATGAATTTTTTTCCAAATGTACCAAAGTGCTTTCAATTTACCCTAATTCTGGCCCATAAACGGATATCTAAGAACATTTTCTACCTGGAACTTGGCAATATTTTAGCAAACTTTGTTTCTTTGTCTATATCACAATGATATCCAGACGTCTTGCTTTGATCATTTGGTCAGTTTGGATGTTTCAGTCCCACAGTATCTTGCATGTCTCATTTCCTGTACTACTATTGGCTGATGTTGGTAATACTTTGTCTTTACTTTGATCCCATTTTTATGAAATAATTCCCAATGGATTCGTTTTCCAACCCAATCATGTCAACATTTTGCATTCACTAACGATATCGTTCACCATCTCATTCACCTGTCCACATATTCTGCACTTCATCTTGGCGTGTGTTGCTTTCTCCTGTGTAGTTTTTAAAAGTTGGATAAGAGCACACGACCATAAACACATGCTAACCAGGAATATTGAGCCAGAAACCAGTAAAATTGCCAATACTTTAGAGACATCATCTTAAGTAAGTAGGTTTTTTTAATTGTATCTTCACATTCAATTGCTATTCCAGTTGTTCAGTTTATCGCCGCTGTAAAATATTTTGTACTTATTTAAATCCATAATTTACTTGTTTTAGATCGAATAAGATTACTAGTATACGATAGGGTGCATTGTTCTAAAGTCTGTCCTGTTTATAAGGAACCAGTCATTATCATTGATTCTGTTCCCCTTTTAATTCCTGTTTTTCTAAGCCAATTCCATCTATCATTGCCTGCTTCATTGTCTATTTGTCATAAACGTCCCATGCAAGGTCTTTTCCTTTTAAAGCTGACATCTTTCATTCATTTTCCGCACATTATGCTCAGCTTCGCTAACACATTGACAATATTTTGTCCATTGAGCTTCTTTTCTAATAGCTTCTAACTCTTCACTTGTATTCATTCCTAACCTTCTCTTTCCTTTTTGTATTAGTTCACAAAGCAAGACTTCTACAAAATTTTCAGTACTTTTCCATATTTCTAGGTATAAAAATGGTGAACTGCAAATATTTAGAACTATAAGGCAAGAAATACATAGAGAAAAAGAAAGAAAAAAATTATTTCCATCTTGATGAAATTCAAAAGGGTAGCCAATCAGTGATTTTACCTAAAATATGACAAAATTTGAAAATGCAATATCACAGCTGAAATGATATATACAGATCTATATTCTATATTTTAAGATAAATATTCTAAGCTCACATCTTTTGAATTAACAGGGAATGACCCATTTACAAGAGGTACAGCTTACCCTGTATTATTATCAGTGAGAGGCATTATCTGGACAGTCAATATCATTACCCAGTTTCTTAAAAAAATTATTAACATAATTTACAGTTTAACTGACTAAATTATTATTAATGAAGGCCTATGACTGAAAGATATTAAAGGCACTCAGACAACGATTTGAATTCAAAGCACTGTCCAGCTAAAAGATAGAAAACTGCTTTAGCTTAAATAATCAGTTGAGCAAATTTTTTCCAGAAATCATACAATTTCAACAATATTCTGCAAATAGTTAGTTTATTTGTGAAATCTAGCAAATTATTTTAAGTGAGCTTTTAATGTTGAGCTTCTTATCCTCATTTTTTCAAAACTCTTAATGTTTTCCAGCCTTGCCATAAAGAATAAATTAAAAAACTGGCAACACTAAAAACTCTAACATGACGTAACTATCATTCTCTAGTAACAAATATCATTTCCTGTTGAAATAGTCTTCTGTTTCACAAGCATTGTCAAAAGTTTAAATGATTATTACAGTAAATAAATAATGCCATCTACAAACATCTCACAGAAGACCAGATGGCAAAATATTGTCCTAGTATTTGAAATGTAGACGACAGCAAACAGCAGCAGTAGTTCCTTCCCTTTTTTCAAAATTCAGCTTTAAAAAATTTGTCTTTCTAATAATCTTGATTACAGTACGGACACCTTCTGTGGCCAAATTCCATAATCAAACGGTGGCATTTCATGTGTATAAGATGGCCACATTTTGGAGCCAAAGAGGGCTCTGTTGCAGTGTGGATGCTATCAAAACACACAGGGCACTTGTCCTTGCCGCTTTCTTCTCTACATTTATGAGAATCCTTTATACTTTTGGTAAGACAAATACCGCACTGTTTACAGTGGAAAAAGTTTTCCCTCCCACCTTTGCGACACAAACCACATTCTTCACAGTGGAACTGGCCATGGTCGTTATCGTCGAAAACTCTGCATTTAGTACAGGAATATAGGCCAAAAAGAATACCACAATATTTGCAATGAGATGAAACAGGCTGATCCTTGCGACATTGTGTGCATACCAATATCTCGACTTCAAACCTGTTTACTTCATGATCCTCATTCCTATCATGACATAGACGGCAAGGATACATTTTGCCACAACATGGTGTGTTAAGTAAGCACCTTCTAACGTAATGTTCGCAATTTCCGACTGCAGACTCCATCCCCTCCCTAACTTGCATCTGATGACTTTGAAGGGAAGCTCTTACATCTCAATAACTGAAGTGAATTGTTGACCAGAGATTAATTTAGTTGAATGGAAAAGAGTGAACTGAAATGCGGTTTTTTTTCGACTTCCTTGAGCAAGTATTATTGCAAATACAATATAATTTTTCCTATAAGGAGGTAATGTCAGTATTAGTTTTTTAAAAAAGGCAAAATGACAGCATTTGTCCCTTTACCATCCTATTTGCGTTTGTGCCTACCCGATTTTTATGCTATCTCGATTGAGACAGAGCGAAATTTTCCACGAAGCTAATCAAACAAGAAGTATTGCTGAATTTGACGAATTCAAGATTTAAAAGCCATCCAACCCATCGATAAAAAGGGATGACTTACATCAGTTGCAGCTTCTGTGTTTGTGTTATCTGTTGCTCATTGTTGTGGTGTCGCTGCTTCGATAGTAGGGCTGCGACCCGTGTCCATGTTCCTCTCTACAAAACTTTCATTTTCGTTAGCGCTAAAGTACGACTGCTGTCGCCTGTGCTCTTCTATTCTCCCTCTACGCTGCTCCTCGATTTCCAATCTTGTCAACTCGCCTGAATTACCGTCTACATTGATACCAGAAATTTCCTATCGAATTCTCCTCGCCAATTTTGTCTCGCATAGAAAAACAGTGAGAAAAACAATTTTTCGAATTTTTGAGCATCAAAGTTAACGGTCAAAACACTTCATAGCACGTTTGAGTTTCCCGTACCTACCGCATGTGGTATGGTATTGTATTGCATTGTTTAACATACGAAGAGGGATGTTTTGTTGGGATTTTGACTCCTGTGCAGATATTATAGAATATTTCCACAGATTTGAAATCGGTTGATTTTTTGATTCCATTTTTTGGGAAGGTAATGTCTGCATTTGGATTCAGCTGAATCTTTGTGTGCATTTGCTTCCACTTGTTCTCTGTTCTTTTGTTCTCTGAAGGCCTTAGTCGTTGCATAATAATTCGTCTCCCATTCATAGTTTCGTTTCAATCTTTTTCTTTTTGCACAAATAGCAATTCGGAACAGGTCCAGGATTTAGTCTAATGTCACCACATAGGAGAAGGATCAAAATCAAATATGAACTTCCATCTTTTTTCGATATGAAATTAGGCCGGGGTCTTTCGTCTATTTCAAGAACCTCTTTCTTTCGCAAAATATTCTTCCACTGGCTGCACATGTTTCGGTTCCATAGCTTGAATCCATAGCTTTTCGTAGGCAATTATTAGAATGAGCCCGAATAACGCATCTCTCGCCACCATATCCTCCTGACTTTTCGCTGCCATGTCCATGGTGAGGTTTTTAAGGTATCTTGTCATAAACGGGCCATCATTTCCTTCAACAAGCTTGCTTTTAAATGGAGCGTCTTTACCAAAGAATCCAGTGAAGGCATTTTTAAAATATTTGTATGGTGGCCTATTTGCTTGACATCTTTGCTCAGTTTGCTCCATAGATTTGATCCACGAAATAAAATAGACCTTTGCCCATTTAGTGTTTAAAAAGAATAACATGCTAGTCAGTTTCAGTAAAGCGTATACCTCTAGGTCCGTTCACTAAACGCTTTTCTGACCCCGTTATCTTCATCTGTTTCGACTGGTGTTGCGTAAAAAATATCTTCGTCAATCTCTAGAAAATCTTTCTCGATTAGGGCAGTAACAGTTGTCAAGTTTCAGTAAAATCGTGGAAATAGAAGAGGTTTCTACTGAGCATAGTCTTAGCTTAGAAACTTTCGATTTTGTCGCAATACAACAATTTTGCACTTGTAAAAGTCCTGTTTAAACTTAGCTGAAAGACCCCATCTTACCTTACCCTCGCTGCCTAAATAAATTGGAGCAGCCAACTTTTGCGCTGTGCTTTTTTCAGTTTCATTTGTCCAAATACTACTTCCTCCGTCCCCCTCCTCCCCCCCTCCCAGAACAGTGTTGAAAGTATAGAAAATATCATAGCAGCCACATGAAAAAAAGGTACTCCCCCACTTCTTTATTATTTCTATAGTAAATCAACACTGTTCCTAGGGGGAGAGGGGGGTGGCTGAATTTGCCTTTGAAAACTGCCGTTAGTGTGTTCCAAGACTTTTGGCAGTGATTGTACCTTAAAACAAAGGGCTAATCGAGCTCCAGTTACTTACTTTGCTCTTTATAAATTTCATTACTCCCTCGGGCCTATTAAAACTTTATCTTTTTGATAGGTTTACTGAATAGTTGCTATAGAAATGATATTAACACTTTTTAAAATGCAATCTTTCTCCATTAATGAACTGCTTCTAAGGTCTTTCATGGGATAGCAAGTTGATGCGAACATAAATAAAAGACTTTAAGAGCTATTCGCCAGAAGATAAAAAGATTGGCAAGAATGTCCTATGGTTATTCTGTAAGTTTTTGTGCCTATTCTGTTTTCTTACAGGTTTAGCTCACTTTTGCGTAGACCTTACACTAGTAAAGTTAGAGTTGAGCGAGGAGTTGAGTCACCTTTTTTCACAAAAGTTTGTAACCTTCTCTGCATTACCGAGTACACAGCTTTAGCGAATCAAATTTTAAATTTAACTATAACAAATGGAACAAAAAATTTTTTTCTGCGCGTATCCTCCGCCCCATATGTTGATAGCATGGATTTTACATCTCGCTTTCTGCAGACATTTCTCAAAAAGGACTTCAGATTTTAAATCTTCATCTTGAGATTAGTTTACCCTTCATGTCGTTTGGACGGTTCGGCCGCGCGTTACTTTGTTTGAATATTTAGACATTTCACCACAGCAACAAATTCCATTGCTAAATTTCCATAAGAAAAGCTAAATTTTGAAAATAGGGAAATTTACTGCCTCACAGCCCAAACAACATGAAATTTTCGGCACAGACTAATTTTTACAGGAAGATTGAAATTAAAATCCTTTTTTTATATGAACAATTTTATAAAAACACGAGCCTCAAAAGTGGTCAAAAGATAAAAATAAATTAAGAACAAGCTAAGGCTGAACCACTGTAAAATGCAATTTTGAACAACGTCTTACCTCAAAAACGAGGATTTTTAGCCATGTATGGGTGCTTTTTCGGTGAATATTTGAACTAGTTGGCAAATGAAAGTTGTCTCACTCACCTTGTTGGCAAATGAGGCTTGAAAAATCCCTAGAGAAAAAAAAAGAACAACAATCCAGCCTCAGATTTTCGAAAAATTAAGAACAGTCAGCCAGAACTTAAATTCACTGGTTCTTATCAAAAAAATTGTATATTATCCATTTTTGGCAAATATGAAGATAAAGAATTGATCGGGACAGATAATGGAGTATGGAGTATGATCCTCTAGATTTTCATAAAACAATTAAACATGTTGGGTTGTGATATCCATTATGCGTTGAAGTTAAAGAAAAATCATTCTATTTTATTTCATTCAGAGAATGTATTCTTTAAGAAGCGTATAGAGGCGCGGTTGCATTTGATTTTCTTCTCCTTCCACTTCCCAGGAGCTGTTTCATTTGCAGAAAGAACATGAGACGAAAATTTTATTTTCACAAAGGATTGCTTTGTGAATTTTATTGAATTAGGAAACAAAAGTTATCCTAAATTTAAATTTGTGCATAAAGCTACACACGGAGATCATTTAAAGGCTGTTTCATGAAATGCCTCATTAAAATATATTTGTAATTATGAGAGAGTTATAGCATGGCAAACAGGGCTTGAAAAAAGATTTTTCTTCCTGGCAGCAAAATAAAAAATTCAAGATTTCCTGCGAAGCTTCGACAAAGTTTCCAGCCACTGAAAGTGATATTTTAAGTTGATTGGTTTATTTAAACTTTGTTCTAAAATTAACCTTCATACTAAAAAGGAACTAATTGTTGGTCCTCAATTTTTGATCAAAGTTATTCGAACAGGCATCACTTTGTTTATACTGTATTAGATGATCAAGGAGAAGGTCATCGAGCAAAATACTGATCGAGCACATACAGCTTGTTTGTTTGTTCAAGGTTTAAGTTAATCTGTAAATCTCTAATTTTATATCAGTATTAGCAAACAAGATACTATTGAAGTATTGATGTAAGAGTACTATTTAATTTTTCAATAGTTAAAATAAATGTTTTAAATCCGTGGTGGTGCTAAAGGCAAAGATATCAGCCCAAAATGCTTACATTCTTTTGAGCTAGCGTTTAAAAATGATGTGAATGCCTGTAGGAAAGTATCAAAAATAATGGACACATCCACAAAGGCAATAATAATACACGAATGTTTATACAGGAATAGCCTATCAGTATGACCAGCATACTGTTATCATTAGGGTCCTGTGCGTAAGGAAATATGCAAAATAAAAGGATTAAATTAATGTAGCTAAAAATTTCATATAATTAAATAAGATCATGTGCTTGTGTTCTGAATAAAATCCTAGAGTCTAAATTTCTTGCTGAAATAGGAATTTTGTTGTAAACATGCGCAGCAGTCACAAAAAAACTTTTACGACCAAATTCATTTTTCATCTTTGGTACTTTTCATGGTCCTTTCTCTCAAAGTAATTTGTAAATGGGTCACACACGTTGTTTTGGAGGCAATCAAATACAGGCATGAAGACAGGCATGATCATAGATCTATAGATATTTTCTGCAGTTGCCGAGTCGACTGCAGAAAATATTCATCTTCAATGAAATTGACCTTACAAGACTGGCTGTCTTTAAGTCTCTTTACTTATCTAGAATGGCTAATGTAAAAAGAGAAACGAACTTTGTTTATCTTCCTTAAATTATATTTGTCGCTGGAAATCATGCCTGAACTGCCGGAAATTTGGTATAACAGACGTTGACAATACCAGAAGATGGTATTTTGAAAGCTAAACTTCGTTTTTTGATAGTAGTGCAGCACAAAAACCAAACAGTTTGTATGTAAATCACAAGAAAACAGCGTTCCATAGAAAAAGAGTAACATACATTTCATATTCATATTAAAATCAAGCAATGGCGATTTCACGCTACAGATTTCCAGGCAAACAGCAACAAGTCGGACATTTTCCTGCCCTGATGGCAAATTATCAATATTAAAACTATCATTACCCAATCATTAGGTATTGCGAGTCCCCTTGCTTGCAAAGTTTTTTTTATAAATGATAACGTTGCGACACATTTTTTTTAACATTTGCGAAACTTTTAAGTTAAGAAATAAATGCTATTTTTTAAAATTTATAAGTTCAATCACAGGCTTGGTAGTTAAAAGAAAAGCCATTTAAAGCTCTGATAAAAACCTGTGTATAAAATTGGTCATTAATCTTCGGAAAATTCGTTGACATTTTGACATTTTGGCATTAAAAATATAAAAGTCTTTATTCAATTGTAAAGAAATTGAATCGAAACTATGAAAAAGTTTTACATGCTGCTAGAACACTCTATAGAACAAATCATATCATATAGAATAGAATTCCAGTTTGCTGCGGTATCTATAACCTTTTACAATTCAAACAATGAAATGAAACATATTTTGACTAAAAAAACAGCCCGTAACATTTAACTGGGTACGACGGTAAACTGCACCCTGGGGCTCCCTTGAGCAAGGAGTAGTACCTTATCAGCTCCCCGTGCTAGGGTAACGGTAAAGCTATTGGCAGCAGGATAGCGGATTGCGGAGATGGGCACACTGCGGTGCAACTGCGGACCATGGCCATCCCAGCTTTGTATGTCTGGCAAAGGTTTGGTGCAACCAAGCAAATGGCAGAGATCACCTGCTCAGTTAGCGAGCACTGCGGTTGAAGAAAGAGACTTGGGGCCTCTACTCCACCTAGTCCTAGCTCCTGACCACACACAAAATGGTTGTACAACGAAACAAAACCCCATACCGCATCGTCCGTCGCGCGGGTCACCAAGGGACGCGTTATCCAGCGGGTAACCAGGCTGGACACGACAAGTATGCTACTGGAAAACAATGCCACAATATGCGGAACGAGTTGCGCATTGGCACTTGGAATGTACGCAAACTTAAACAACTAGGAAAGCTTGACACTGTGTGCAGAGAAATGAGTCGAAGCAAGATCCAGATACTGGGAATTGCAGAAACAAACTGGAACAACTGCGGCAGTTTTGTCAGCGGAGACTCCTTCAAAGTCGTCTTCTCAGGAAAAGAAGTCGGATACAGCCATGGAATAGCCATTATCCTTGCAAAAGAAGCAGCAAATGCATTGATAGGTTACTCGCCAATATCAGACAGAATCCTGAAAGTATGTATCAAAGCCAAGCCATACAATCTCAGCATTGTACAGTGCTATGCTCCAACAAGCACTGCCAGTGACGATGAACTTGAAGAATTCTACAACCAACTGCAAGAGACATTAGACGCCATACCCAGCCGTGACATTAAAATCGTGATGGGAGACCTGAATGCCAAGGTAGGAACAGCAAACACAGCCACACCAACTCACGGAACTTGTGGACTTGGCATCAGAAACGAAAGAGGAGAAACTCTCATCGACTTCTGTAAAGTAAACAATCTTGTCGTAGCCAACACGCTTTTTGATCAGCATCCAAGAAGACTGTACACTTGGACATCGCCTGACAGAACGATCAGAAATCAAATCGACTACATCATGATCGAACAGAAGTGGAAAAGCTGCCTGAAAGATGCAAGAACTCTACCAGGAGCCGACTGCAACAGTGATCACCAACTTCTGTCCGCCAGGATCCGAATGCGACTGAAGAAATTAGATCAACCACCACCAACGCTACGTCTAGATTTCTCCACTCTAGGCGAAAAGTACAAGATTGACATTAACAACAAATTCGAATCCCTGCTAGAGTGTGAAACTGAAGAAATTCCCCCTAACGACTTCTGGAAGTTAGGCAAGGAATGTCTAGTCGAAGTTGCAAAGCAAACTATCCAAAAGCGAAAAAAAATAAAAAATGATTGGATCTCAGAAGAAACAAGAGCAGAAATCGAGAAACGAAGATGTCTGAAAGGAACAACCGACGAATACAAAAAACAAAATGCAACAGTACAAAGAATGATGAGAAAAGACAAAAATCAGCAAAAAGACAGAGTCTGTAAGAAAATTGAAGAAAACTCCATAACTAATTCAACCAGAGATCTGTATCGAGGAATCAAAGATCTGACCAAAAAGTTCAAACCAACCATTGACACAATAAAAGATGAAAACGGTAATGCTTTGTGCAATGGAGATGATGTCAAAGAAAGATGGAAGTCATATTGCGAAGATCTGTATAAAATTAATGACAACTTAGCACACGACAACTTTGCGTTCGACCAAACCGAAGAAGAACCGCCCCCTCTGCGGAGTGAAATCCAGAAAGCCATAAATGATTTGAAAAACAACAAAAGCACAGGTATCGACGAAGTGGCCGCGGAACTTGTTAAGAACGGTGGAGGAATGTCGTCGAGTTTTTCCATGTTCTCTGCAAAAAGATCTGGAAAGATAGAGAATGGCCAGAGGATTGGATTACATCAGTTTTTGTACCCATCCCAAAGAAAGGAGACGTTTTAGAATGCAGTAACAACAGAACAATATCTTTAATCAGCCATTGCAGCAAGATCCTTTTAAAAGTTATAGCCGGTCGTATGAAAGGTAAACTAGATGAAGAAATTGCAGATGAACAATGTGGATTTCGTGCAAACAAAGGCACACGAGATCAAATTCTAAACTTGAAGCTGATAATGGAAAAACACAGAGAGCGGTGCCATAACCTGTATATGTGCTTCATAGACTACAGGAAGGCATTTGACACAGTCGACCACGAGACACTGTGGAAAGCACTGTTTGAGATGGGCTTTCCAACGCACATCATCCATCTCATAAAAGATCTTTATGACAACCAGAAAGCAGTTGTAAGAACCACTTATGGCATGACAGATTTCTTCAACATCGGTCAAGGAGTCCGCCAAGGTTGTATACTGTCGCCGCATCTTTTTAATGTCTACTCTGAGAAAATTATGCGAGAAGCTCTAGACGGATTCAAGGGATCCATAAAAGTGGGAGGAAGAACCGTCAGTAACCTTAGGTACGCTGATGACATTGTCCTTATTGCTGGATCCATGCAAGAGCTGGAAGACCTCGTCACAAGAGTCAAAGTAGCAAGCGAGCAGGCAGGACTGATGCTAAACACGCAGAAGACGAAAGTCACGAAGATGGCTGGTGATCCAGACAACATGGAAATGCGAGATCTTGCTGTTAACGGCGAAGTCATTGAAACAGTGGATAATTTTATTTATCTCGGTGCAAACTTTACTAACGATTGCAATGACAGCAAAGAAATCAGAAGAAGGTTGGCCATAGCAAGAAGTGCAGTAGTAAGCCTCAGCAACATTTGGAAAGACCGCTCGATCACACTCCAATCAAAAATCCGAATCCTCCATACGCTAGTATTCCCTGTAGCAACTTATGGATGTGAATGTTGGGTCCTCAAGAAATGTGACAGGAACAGACTGACGTCCTTCCAGATATGGTGTTACAGAAGAATTATGCGTATAAGTTGGAGAGAAAGGAAAACGAACGAATGGGTCCTGGAAAGGATCGGCCAAGCAACCCTCATAAACAGCATCAACAAAAGGAAGTTATCTTTTATTGGCCATGTTGCGAGAAGTAAAGGCTTGGGAAATGACATTCTTTCGGGAATGGTGGACGGAAAGAGGAAACGAGGAAGACCACGAAGGAAACTGGAGAACGACGTGGAAGATTTACTGGGAATGACCATGGCCGAGCTGCTTCGGAAGGCGCAAGACAGGGACACTTGGCGGACAACCATTGCGTGTGCCACGGCGGGTCAGCCTTGACCCTTCCGTTACTGATGATGATGAACATTTAACATTTAATATGCCCAAGCAGGTAAACCCGAGCTGCAACAAGACTATAGTCTACTCTATCTCAATCTTCAATACCCTTTTTCCATGCACTCCGGTTTTTTCTCTTGTGTTGTCTGGTTAGTGAACGTTACTAGCAAAGTGACGCACGCTTCTCTTTTACCTTTAGCTTTAGGTTTGAAGAACTTTATCTTGCTGCAACACCTTTATTCTATCTTGGTTGCAGTGCTTTCATTTCATGATTTTGTTTAAAAGTAAAATGTTTAAATCACTCTACCAACAGGGCTCTCGAGAAGGCAAAATATAGGTGCTTAATGACTTCCTGTCGTTCGCACATGATAAGTAACATGTGTATTGAGCAATATTTGACGGCAAGCAGTATATTTCATATGATTAAAGGAGCTTGGTGAAGGCTGCAGGAAAATGTTGTTGTGTTGTTACTTGTGGATACGGTGAATCCACTGATATGAGATTTGGTAGGACATAGAATCCCCCCCCCCCCCCTAGTGGTTGTGAGTCACTCATTCACGCACAATTTTTTGACTTTTCACGCATTCACGAACTGCAAAATTGTATTTTCACGCTCACGCAAACAATAAATGTAATATCAGCTATTGCTCATCAGAGCCTTGCTTGAAGGACTACATCACTATCTTCAACCTCAAAAATACTAATTTGAGATTTAACTCTTGTTGGTTTATTACGCACCAAATTGAGGCAATTTTTTAAATTATCATTCAAAATTTCATTTACGAATTCACGGAAAAATCACGTTTCACGCTTCACGTAGGAATCTTAATTCACGAAATCACCCATAAAAAATCGAGATTTCACGATTTCATGCACGAAAATATGGCCAATAACGCATCACACAAAAATACGGGGGGGGGGGGGGGGGGGGTGCCCTCTAGAATCGCAGCGCATCGAGATTATTTTAACTTTTTTGTAAGAACTGATTTATATTGTCATTGACAAAGACTTAAAGATTCATTTTATATGTATATTTTAACACCATTTCTTTGATCAAACCACGAGAAAAGACATTTTTACTGCAGCGGGTAGACAAGAAGGAAACATCCTAACGGGCTTTTTGGTCGAAGAGACAGCACAGCGATATCTTTCTTCGGAAGCCCAGGTTCACGAACAGTAAACATTCAGACTTGCTGCGATCATCAATATCCCTATTACACGCTGACTGTCCCGCACAAAATGTTTGTTTACAGTCACGTGACCCAGACATTTGTGCCTTGACTTCTGGGCCAAAAAACAAAACATAACTGACTTGGCTTCTGTGAAGATCTCCAGAGATGATTCAGATGTCTCCTACTCCGTTAATTGAGCCCTGCCCTTGTAATTAATGCTGTGAACTGGAGTTCGATTCTCTCCAAGACCATTAATCATTAACAACAACAAAATTCGTCAGATAACTTTTCGGCGGATAAACATTGTCGAAAAAAAATTCGGAGAACTTTTCAGAATTTCTTCGTGACAAAATTTCGTCATGGATATTTAACAGAGAGATAGCAACATATTACGAAAATATTAAGAGGCAAAACCTTACAGGTTGCTTTATATTCAATCCAATTGGTACCTAGCTACTTCGAGGAGAATTTTTCACACAGAAAAGCATGTTAGGAGAACCAGATCAAGGCGGTAGCTTTTAGACGGTATACTCAGTTTATGCAAAGGTGGGGTCAAAAAAGATGCTTTTAGCATTTAAAGAGTAGCTACTCTGTATCTAAATGGTATGAAAGTGTATAAACAGAGTATTAATAAAAGTGTATAAATATAATAGAGTGAATATAAGTATAATATTCCGAAAGCAAAAACCATCTCCAACACTAAAAGTTGGCCTGGAAATTTTGCTTCCTGCGGAGTTCGGAATTTGGGTTAAAAAATGCAAATACCTTAAACGAATGAAAGAAATAGTACAGATGAGTGTAAAAAGACAGAGGTAAAATCTTTTGAAACTGGCGACAAAAGACAGTTAGAAAAGTAGCGTAGCCAGGGTGGTAGAATTAGAGGGGGGGGGGGGGGGGCAAGAGGCTATGATTGATGGATGACGATGACAATGATGATGATGATTTAGGAAAAAAGGAAAAAAGGAAAAAAGTCTTAAAAGGAAAAAAATGTCGTCGTTATCAAATTCCGTCTTATTTTGAATTTAGTCGATAAAAAATTTCGGCAAAATATTTGTCCGAAATTTTGTCACGGCGAAATTTTTTGTAGTTAATATAGATCCCGTTTACACGAGACAAGTTTCAAAAGGGTCCCTATTCGTTTGAATTCACTTCCTCCTGTTAAGGTCTCGTGAAAACAAAATGCCTCAGTATAAAGATCTATACAGATCTCAATTGGATACATATCTTTCTGGAACTGGTTTCGTGTAAACGGTGTCATAATTGGGCAATGCCATCAATAGTGAGGTGCAATGCCACCAATAAAGGTTCACCTTTCTTTGCTATTCTAGAACTGCAATCGGGGCTGTGACCGACGAAATCCACTCATCCATAATAATGAAAGTGTTTCTAATGAACAAGTCTGTCCCTAGAATGCCCTCTCACTTGCATTTACTTTAACATCTAGAAGACTTATGCTGTCCCTAGACTTATGCTGTTCCTGAGTGTTGCTCCCTAGTTAATTTAACGGTATAATAGCTACTTTCAAGAAGTTTTTGAAGGAGTCAACCTTGTCCTCACAACTAGACCAGGCGAGAACGTATCGTGGATGAACTTCATCAATACATTTTTCAAGCAATTTTTCTTCCAATTCTTTCATGTCATATAGACACGTGGAATGCTAGCAACACATGTCCAAATAAACCTCGTTTGTAAAATTAAATAGGTACATGTTCTCATTTACTGTTATGCGTTCTTATTTTCTATTTACGATTTCAAACATTGCTGGTAAAATTTTTGATTTCCAGAAGGGCTATGTCATGCTTCAAGACATTGATGAAAGACTGCGAGTTGAAGGATGCTATGAAGTTGAAGATGTAAATGAAAAACTTGAAAACCTTTGGAATTGTCTTCAAAGATCTGACGAATTGTCAAAAACATTAACAGGTCAGGTTTGCATGCTTCGTGAAAAGCATCAAAAAGAAATTAGTGAAATGATAATGCAAGTTGAAAAACTGAGGAGCATAACTGAAGACCAAAGTACTGTGATTTCACTTTTAAGAGACGAAAACAAGCAACTGAAAAAGCAGCAGTATGCTGAAAATTTTCAACCTTCAAATGAGGATTTTGATGTCGAAGAGGAAATAGACCAACTTTTGATAACAGATGGACTGGTTGAAGTGATGGGCCAAAGCTTGAAGGAGAGATTCAGTCGGCTTGCCTTTAGGTTCACTGAATACAAGTACCTTGTCAAGACACTTGAAGAGGACAAATACAACTTGCAGCAGTACAATAAAAGTTCAAAAGAAAATAGAAAAAAAATCGCAAAGGTTGAAAATATTTTTGGTGCTGAAAATAAAGACAAGGCTCAGGCGCTGGCGATGGAAAAATTAAAGATGGAAAAAGAGTTGATGCAAAAAGAAAGGACGTTGAGAGAGGCGCAAATGGCCATCAGTAACCTGCAAAGAAATCTTGAAAACAAAACGATGAGTCACAAAAATGAACTTAATGAAATTAAGAAGTCTTACGAAGGTAATATTACCCACAATTTTACGATTTATGCTTACATGAAACCACACTTTAAACGCTCTGAAAGTATTATCTCTAGGTGATCGTCCCGGGGAGGGGTGGTACTCCCATTAAGTCCTGGCTGGGGGGTTCAGTCGATTTGAGGGTCTTACCAAATGGCTACGAAATGGCTACCAAATGGCCCCGTTTCGATAATAACACTACCACTTCGGGGTATTGCAAGTAGTTGCTCCCTCTTAGGGGAAACTTTAATCAGCTGCTGAGTTTAGCTTGCGATTTATTATAGAAAATTAACAAGATCTTATCTTTCCCGAATCAACAACAGTCATTGGCGGAGAAATTTGTCAAAGTAGGAACAGGCGAGCACAAAAATTGATGCTACCAAGGGCATTATTTCGGTACTTATCCTACCGTTTGAGGGTTATTGTGGGTTATTTATCTACAACGAAACAAACCAATAGGAAAGACCGCCTATCTATCAGAGCTCGGCATGGGGCAGGCAAAGATTTTTTGAATGGGGTTTTACATTTTCCAAGCAAATGAAAGCAGAAGGATTGTTTTCCTCAGGGGACCGACGAAATTGGTCCAATTAGAAAAATTTGAAATTATTAGAGACTCGAATAGCAGGTTTTTTATAAGGGATATTTAGAATATTTTCAAAAGACCTGAGACAGAGTTTCACAGCTTAACAGATTGAGAAAACTAAGAGCAACAAATGAACGGTGATTGTAATCATTGACGAAAATGCTGACATCTTCAAAGTGTGATTCCAATCATTCAATCAGTCAGTCAATCAATCACTTCAATCATTCAATCAGTCAATCAATCAAAATCTCGATTAGTGTGTCAAAAATATTTAGCTTACAAGCTAATTTGGAACACAACGAAAAAGGAATATAAAGTTAAATAAATGTATAAAATATGAAACTTCAATCTAGTTATTAAAACATAAAAATCCTATGTACAACTAAGCTATAGTCTGCACTCTAAATGATTTTATGTGTACTAAATTAAATATTCTTCCCAGCAAGTTGAGCAGTGTGTAGCTTGATGATGTTGATCTTAACTGCCTTACGTTACAAACGTAGAAATCAAAGGCATTTTGCTCAATAGTTTGGAGTCGACAAACCACAAAAAATCTTCATGGAGAAGACCAGAAATGATATGCATCATTATTTTATTTGCATGATACTTCTATTTCATTTTATTATGTTTATAAGAATTGTGACAAGTATCAGAATCTAAGAGATTTCCTTGATTTTCCATTTTTTCTTTAAACTTCAAATAACATACGTGTTCACTTCTTTATGTATTTTCATGAAATTTATGAACAGCTTTAAGGAGGGAGGGAAGGAGGGAAAGAGGAAAGGAGAAAATGAGGTAGTGAAGGAGTTTGGTTGGGAAATTTAGAGGGAGTAGAGGGCGGAGTTTGGGACGGAAGGAGAGACGAAAGAGTGTTAAAATATTGGATCCGTAGATGTTTCTCGATCCGTTTACAGTGAAGCGCTTAACTTTACTTTCATCTTCATGGGTGTCAATTCCAGGAAACTGATTACTTTGTGCAAAGACAAATCAAAAATTAAAAATCTAGTGCAAAAATCATTAACTAAAATTCTAAAAGCATTTTTTGATTACCAGATGCATTTCAGAAGAGTGTCAATGAGATAGAAAAAGAGCAGAGGGAGACAAATCGAAAAGTTTATGATACAAGAAGACTTGAAATTGACAACCAAATGATGCAGTTAGAAGTTGAGAAGCTTGAAACTGAAAGTTTGAATTCACAGAAAATGGCAAGTAGATTTTAAGTTTCTTATCACGTAAATGATACTTGTTTATAGATAGAAACATTGCAGCAAAGAACTTGCAAAACTCGCCGTTTAAAAGATGTTCTTAGCCAAGAAGGTGCATATTCTAAGTCTACTAGAGGTAGATAGAAGTGATAAGCACACCTTCTTTTCAATAGTATTATATTTGTTTGTATGATGTCATTGTAACGAATTACTTATTAATGCATACATTGATACAGCTAGATAAAGCAGAAACAGCAAAAAGAGAGTTACAAGATGAAGTTTCCGAACTGCGCTGCTTGAAAGACCAAATGGCAGCTGAGTTGGCCACCACAGCAAAAGAGGCTGCAGAGTCCAAGGTGTGTCCTAATATCAGTTTAGAATTGATTTTCATTGATTTCGATCAATATGCTAAAACATGTTTATCCATATTAAAGCTAAATTGATTATTCATAGATGATTTAATTAAAAGCAAGCCAAACCTTAGAATCATTTTCATATTTGTCTATTTTATTAATTGCTTCCATTGCTATATAATGCTTCATACGATGTCTATTTTAACATTTGCTTCATAGAATTACTTCCATTGACCATTGCTATATATTGACCATTGCTATATGTTTTTCTCAACAATTCCAGGATTCATTTCTTCGTGATCGTTCACTCATGGAAGCAAGGTAAAATATTTCTTCAATTTCTACCTTAGGCAGGAAATAGTCTCAAGGAGCGGGTTTTTTGAAATAAAACATTTGTTCATGTAACTACTTTGCTTTGGATTTGGTTTCAGTAGCCTAAACTTTTTGAATGCATATCCCCTTCCCTTTCAAAAAGCCTGATTTTACCACAAATCTTTTGAAGTAAAATGTGTTACAATTTTCTTTATTTGCATCTTTAACAGGTTGAATTATTTAAAGCAGGAGAACATCATCGGTCGAAGAACATCATATTGTCTCATCCATTCAATTTCTATATTACTTTTGATGATACATTCCGCTTGATTTTGTTATAGTTATTTGGAAAAGGTAGACGAGTTGACAAGGGAAAAGGATGCTATGCGTGAACGAATCCTTCAACAGGAAGAAAAACTGAAACAAAATTTAGAGGAAGAAAGAAATTTTGAAATGAAGCTGTCTACTCTGTTATTACAATTGCATTCAAAAGAGCAGGAGATAGTGAATCAAAATAAGTTGCTACAAGAAAAAGTGAGTTTTTCAAGGTTGATTCATCTTTACATTGTTTGCAAATTGTTCTTCGCTGGCAATTCATACTAGTGGTTTCGGTATTCGTCTTGAAGGTTTGCTTGTCACATTTTCTTTATACCCATTAGGAAATCAAAGTTGTCGATTTGAATGCACAAATGAGTGACATAGCAAAAGAAACAAACGAGTTAAGAAGAATCGTGGCAACTCAAGAAAGGAAAACTCATGATGCCATAAAAAAGGTCAGTTTTCCAATGAATTTCTTCTTATTAACATTTTTTTGGAAGCTAGTCCAAACTTTGCCGTGTAGCATCGTCACCTTTTGCAAGATACACCAAATAACTGTTTTTATACTTTACATTTGATGACGATGAATCTTACCAGTTGGCCAGAACCCCTACATAAAATTTGCATAAATCTGTATTCGATCTTTGTAAAGTCTCGCTAACGTAAGCCTCTTTTTTTGCATTGCCAATATTCACTGATTAGGCAATTCAGCCTTGTTTATTTTTGCGTCGTAACATATGCACACAATCTTATCGTATTTATACCCGTCAAGAGTCATTAGAGGCTTAAGAAGAGGGGGATTTATAGAGAGGGGAGTTTATTTTAAATTTTTGCTTGATAAAGGGGGCTTAATAGGGCTTAAAAGAGAGAGGGACTTTTACGGTATTATAGAGATTATCACCTCTCGATTTTTGGTCTCACGAAAAGGTCCTCTTATAGAAATTTGCAGCTCAGATGCAATGCAATGTAATGGTTTCCTGTCAAAACTTTGCACCAACTCAGAGTCGTTCGTGGGTAATTATAGGTCATATGTGCATGATGATTAGATTTTTATACTTATGATCGCTACTTATGTAAATTTATACAGTCTTATCTCATACGGTTAACGGTTAAAATGCTAAATGAAAAAGGAAGGACCCTTTATAACGCTTTTTCTCAAGTGCGCATACAAAACATAACTGACCTATTTTTGCAGAATTCTGAATTAACGAAAAGATGCAACGACCTGCAGTCTTCATTAAAATTTACCGAGGATCACAAAGCAGGTAAGAGAAACCTTTATTAGAAATCCTCAGTAATCGGAAGTCTAGGTAACGAATGAAACTGAATCAGGAATCGATTATTGCTAATAGTTATAATCTAAATAAATTTTTTTGCGGTACAGAATTTGAAAATGGCTTTGGAAAAAGCAAACATTTTACAACATACTAAAAGCTTTTTCGTTTGACACTCCTCAGAGCATAAAACGTCAGAATCAGGGTCCGAAAGAACGCGATGAAAAATATATACCCAGTTGTGGATCGAAATAGGCGTGGATCGAAATAGGCTAATCTAAACTGCACGCTTAACTGGAAAAACTTAAAACGATCTTTCTGGACAACGGCTATCGATAAGACGTCATTTTATCTTAGACTATGTTAAACGCGACATCATAGATTTAGAGAAACATTTGCAAGATCACATTTTGGAGTGCCAGGTCATTGGAGTGCCAAGTTGGTCCTTACTGGCCCTGTCCTTAGTTTTAGATTTTCCTTAGATTTTCATCATGCCGACTATTCCACAGCTATTGAAACACTTGAGTTTGCCCATTTATCGCGGGAAGCTTAGCATTTTTTCATTCAATGAGCAGAAGAGATGCTGTTTTAAGCAATTTGCAGCATTATTTGGTCCCTCAACAACATCACAGTTGGTTTGAAAAGATGGGTTTAACTTTTTGTGACATATTTTATTGATTGAATTCTGATGCAAAATATCACGAAGTGGCCGCTGCAAGTAGGCCCATTGTAGCTCCAAAAATTCCGACTAAAAAGTTTAGCATATTCTCTAAGAACAGTGAATAAAATGAACAGTTCTAGACACCGAAGCAAAAAGTAAATATCCTCGAGTTGAATTTTATAAGATTTCGCAAATTGGTGCAAAGAGAAACTTTTTATTGAAAATGTTTCGCAGGTACTTCAATCATCATCGCTCAATTTTCATGCTTTTGTAAATGTTGATATTGTTTGAAAATAGGCAAAAATCAAACATTTTCTTGCAATCGCTATTTTTGGTATTAATCTTTGATAAACATTTAATTATTTTCTAGCTAAAGTGTCGTCTTACAATCTTTATATAATTTGCTTAAGCTATTAGAATTTTGAAGTTTAGCTAACAAACTTTGCTGAGTGCCACCTTTTCTGTCTCAGCCTGTGCAATACTCACTACATTTATACTGATAAAACGGTACGACTAGTTGCATATGTTCTGATCTTATTTGTTATATAAAGCCAATGATTCAACAATGCCTCATTTCTTTCATATTATTTTCAATCCTAGACTTGTTAATGAAAATCTATCTGAAAATCTAATAAAAATAATTAATGAAAGACAAATAAAACATTATCTCCCTTAAGATATCAGCAAGAAATTGATAAATGTAAGTGGGGAGCTGGCATCTTCAAATGAACATGTAATTCAATTGAAAGAAGATGTGCATTCACTGACATTGCAAGTGAAAAGGCATCAGAATGGGTCAGCAAAAGAACAGGTGAGTTTTGGCTTCTTGTAAACCTTTTATCGTTGTAGACGTGAAATATAAAACCAATCTCATCGCAGTGGCACATTCTTAGTGATTGTTTGTAAGAATCTATTATTGATTGTAAGATGATGAAAATTTTGTTTGAGTAGAAAATCAGAAGTGCATTGCAGGGGCAGATTCAGACTAAAATGTGAAATTCTCAAAACCTATAAATACCAGCAGGTTGAGCCCACTTTTTTTGAACGCCCAGGTAACAGATTTATGTTATGTATTCCAGAGGTGGAACTGCAGCAGGGACGTTGGAAACATTTAGAAGGTGGGGGCACAGGGGTTTAAGGGCACTTTAACCACACCCTTTATTCTAAGATCCACACTCTAGAATACAAAAGGTTTCTGGAATAAAGAAATTGAAATATAGAAGTGAATATAGAACCCAAAATATAGAGCCAAAAATCAAGAATTGCATTCTCTTTAATGGTTAAAAGAAAATATGATCAGTACATAAACGGAAAGGTAGGAAAACTCAATGCATTACTTAATGAAGAACTATCTATAAACAGTTTTGACATTATTGACAATGGTAATATTCAGTATAGCAATCTAGGGAAAGATGGGTTACATGTAAATGAAGGGGGGGGGGGCAAGAAAGTTTTCTGGTAACCTGAGTAGGTATTTTAAGCATTCCTAGGGGTCACTCAGCTCAGCAAAAAATAAAGCAACAGGTAGAATTAGCGCTCTTGCAAAAAAGTGTTCTCAAAATAGCGTTTTCAAAAACATAGCAAGTCTTTTGTAAAAAAACCTTGGAAGTGAGATTGTGTCCAAGTGAAAATGATATTGATATAATTGGCTTGAGTGAAACTCGATTAAATATGTATGTTTGTATGTATAATTTGCCATCAAATAAATTATTAATTAAGAAAACGAAAAAGATCTAATTACAGATATATAAAATTTAGAGATAGAAGTTAAAAACGTAGACTAAAAACATCTTAGGTTGAAAATGGCAGGGATAACATTAACAAGGTCAATACGATCTTGGCGCCGCCCCTGTGAAGGACTAAACGACCTCACGATTCTTACTTGCGAGAAAGAAATTTTGGACAACGTAAATTTAGATAATATAGTGGAGCAATGGGCAAGTCGTAGAAGGAGAAAAATTAACACCTGATTTTTAGACTATGTATGTTTTGATGCACTTATCAAACTAACAGTCTTCATGATCGATATTTCAAATTCACGAAATCTAGAAACTTTATCATACAGCTGAATAATTGTTTACTAGACAATTTATAAGGTTTTGTTGGTTAAAAAACTATTAAAGTTTAGGCCTTCATACAAAATGAGAATTGACCTTCGTCAGTCGGAAATCTTGAGTCCTTCACCCCCTCAAAAATATCTGCCGATTTATGTCCCTGCTGAAACAAAACCTGATACATTTATTTTCAGTTGTCTGAATTCTTTTGGTTAATCTTGATGAATTAGTGCGTTTGCTAGCAATCTACGAAGGGAGAAGTCAAGAAAATGTTGCTTTCTGAAAAGAGCCTGCCATTGAGTTTGCTTAGGATTCTTGTAGCCATCGATTCCCCGGACAGGTCCTCGTCGAGAATACAGCCTAAATATGTGACTGAGGTGTATCTTTTAATCTTGATGTCGCCTCTTCTGATGTCCAGTTTTTTCCTGTCCGTATGTTTATTCTCTCTACCAAAAAGTATCGATTTTGTTTTTTCCTCTCCAAAATGAATGAACGGTTTGTTATCAACAAACCATGTTTGTTCTGTTTAATTGTGTTTTTTATTTCATTCACGTTATTGTCTCCAAATATAAGACAAGAGTCATCTGCATACAGAAGTAAGTCACAGTCGACTGCCTGTGGCATGTCATTTACATATAAAAAGAAAATTAGCGGGCCAAGATTAGAGCCTTCTGGAACACCACACGATAATTCACCAGGTGATGAGGAATCTTTTCCTATGTTTACATAGAAAGTTCGGTTATTTGGATATGATCGAAGCCAAAGTATGACTGAGTCAGCAAAGCTTTTTTGTAGATCTTTTAAAATCATGCCCATAAACATACTATTTTCAAATCGCTGAACTATTTTGTCACTTAGATATGATAAACATGCGTCGGTTGAATGGTAGAGACGAAAGCCAGATTTGTAACGATAGATAATTTTGTTTTTATCGATATATTTTTGTATCTGCTTGTCGACAACTTTTTCAATTACTTTAGAAATTGGCGGCAGAAGTGAGATTGGTCGATAATTTTTTGGTTCATCTTTGTTCCCCTTTTTAAAGACCATCGAAATGTAGTGGGACATTGTACCTGAATGAAACAGTTAGGGACGCTGATGTGAACATTAAAGGTTTAAATATTTATAGAAATGATCGTAATGCCAGTGGCGTAGGAGTGGCAATTTATGTGAAAAAAGCTTGCTTAAACCAACCGTGAAGATCAAATATGACAAGCTGGAGCTTGAATCCACATCAACTCCTGCCAAACCTGTCCTTGTTATATGTTGGTACCGTCCGCCAACCTCAACGAAATCTCTTTTGAAAACTTAAGGGAGATACTGAGTAAATTAGCAAAGGAGGATGATTGGTGTCACTAACTGTGACTTCAAGAGCAATCAAAATGCCAATGCAAAGAACCTTAAATGCAAAGATCTATTCCGAGTTTCAACTCACGCAGTTAATAAATAAGTACACAAGAGTTACTGTTACGACTAGTAAGCAAAACGACACCACACTTCAAAAACGCCAATAGACTTCACACCACAATTCACAACAACGAGCCCCAAAAACCTTCCAAAAGCAGATTTTTTATAGATTTGGATGGTTGATCACTATATGGTGTATTGTACAAGAATAATTATTGCTTGGAGATTCGAAAAGAAAAAAGTAAAAATCATTGAGACTCGTAACCTTGACAAAAACGATAAGGACTTTTTCCGGAACAACCTGCGTCAGATAGATTGGCCAGTCACCCTAAATCCACTCTACAAAGATCCAAATGTAATGGCCTCCACCTTTTCAGGAGATTTTTGAGCTTATCTTCATTTGAGCTTAGCTTATATGATGCATGCCCTGCTTAAGAAAAGAAGGGTATGACATGATTCTGCACCTTGGCTAAGTCAATCCATTAGAATCCTAATGAGGGAGAAGGATTTGGCAAAAAAGACTGCTGATCTCCAGAAAAATGGAGTAATAAACGACTGAAAAATAGAGTAACTGGAGAAATAAAGGCTACTGTACAGTCATATTATTTCGAGTTGATTTACGAAATAAGGACAACCCGAAAAAACGTGGCAGACTTTTAAATATATTGAGTCTTAGATAAACCCTCGAAATCAACAATGCCTGCCAGTGGCGGCGCCAGGGGGGAGAATGGGACTAGTCCCCCCCACTTTTTCAGAAAGATGGTCTCTGAGATTTATGCAAATCCGATGAGAAAATGGGGGGGGGGGGTAGGCCTACGTTCTGTGAATTGTGTCGCAAGATTATTTCGAAGTAAAACACAAAATTTGTTATTAAATTACATCCTTAAGATTTATTTATCTTACAACAGGAAAACATGAATGGGTCAGATTATAATAATTTAATCCTTTGCAATAGAATATCAATCGTTGTTTCCGTATATTTACGAAGTTCACTTCATCAACATTTTTAACGTCTTAAAAAGAATAGTAATTATCTTCCGGCTCTCTGCGAGAAAAAATGATGAATTTGTTGCTGCATATCTTGACTTTCACTCATTCATCTGAAAGACAACGAAATGGCGTGTGCTTCTGTACGTGATCCGTCTTCTGAAAACGTTCTGAACATCGACAATGTCCTTGCAATGTGACGAATTAAGCCGGTTATCGATTTCCCAAAATCAGTTATTTCTGGGAAAGACTTTCGATTTCAGAAGATATGGTATGAGCAGTATGACTGGTTACAGTATTCAATTGACAAAGATGCAATCTTTTGCTTTTACTGTCGCATCTTTGGGTCGCAGGGTAAGTGTTTTTACGTATTATTTATGGTTATTGGTTATTCCATCGTTATTCTTAGGCTAGCTGTCATACTTTAGTATATAAAACGTTTTCCCCATCTTTTACGGGCACAGTCGGGCGCAGTCCTACATCTAAAAAACCACTAAAAAACATCTTTAGCCCTGTGAGAAATATTAAAAACTTCCTAATTAAAAATGCCCACGTGGGGAAATGGCTACCCAAATAACCTTTGTATGGAAATTGTGTATTTCATACCACATTTGGAGCTTCACATAAGATAGTGGCAAGAATGTAGCACGTAACTCATGAAATATTCAAGAAAGTCCTAAATTTTTCAGTCCTAAGAAAGTTTTCAAAATCAATTCTTGAAAAACGGCCGCAATCATGAAGGACTTTTGTATTCTTATTTTATTTTGCCTAGTCGTAGTTCATCTAGTCATTAATTTGATGATTTGAAATAAAAAACAACTATATAAAAGTGCTCACGATAAAGCTTCTTAAAAGTGAGATAGATGCTGGAAAACAGAGTTACTGTAGGACAAAAGCGAGCGTATATAATAATGAAAGTATACGAGATTTTAAAAATGACATCGACGTAAATTTCTTTCAAATTTTGAAATAAAAAATGCTAAAAATGTTTGTTTCAGTTGGTTGTTCTGAGAAAATCTTCACAGAAGATGGTTTCCGTAACTGGAAAAAGGCAACTGGAGCAACAGGCCGCTTGGAGAAACATTTGAAGTCGAGAGCACATCAGCTGAGCCGAGAGAAAGCTATTTTAAGAAAGACCAGCATACCAATCAATGTCCAGCTTTCAAATGCCGAAGCAGCAAGGATTTCTAAGCTAGAGGCTGAGAAAAAGGAAAATCAGATGGTGGAAGTTATTATTGATGTTATCCGCCATATCAGTCTTCAAAACGAGGCTTTTAGGGGTCATGATGAGAAACCAACATCTGAAAATCAAGGAAAATTCCTAGAAGAGATAATGTTTTTAGCAAAATATCACGCTCCCTTA